TAAGCAATAAGCTGACGTATTGACAGGAAAATTGTTATGTTACTTAAGTTCTAGCCTCACATTTACTAGAGAACTTTTTAATGACTCGTTTTGTTTAGAACTATCGAAGACGATTAAAAATATTCATCTAGTGTTGTTGTTTGCCTAGTGAAGGCGCACAGTCGTTGCCATAATATGAATTTAGAAAATAAGCACACATATGATATAACAAGCACTACATAATTCAATAGACGAATTTTATTATAATCTGGCATAACAACATAGGTCATAGGCCTAATATTACTATTTTAAAATTTTTCCAAGTTGCTACTGCCGTGAGATTAGCAGCATTGGCATTGACTGGAGTTTGTAACACTGCATCTATATTGTTTTTAGATTTTGTCAATATAAGCTCTTATTTTACATGAACAATTATCTTACGATAGTCTTCAACAAAACCTTAAATCATATACAGTGGGAGCATGATATATAATGTTAGCCACTTTTTCATAAGGGTTGTTAATCCAACATTTTTGCACTGGTCCACCTCTGGTCTCTAAAGCTTTCATCTCATATCTTATATATTTAAGTGAGTGGCAGATGGCAATTGTTTATCAATGCGTTACTTATTACTGCTTTATTCCTGTCTGCTTTGCTGATCTTCCATAAATATATATGTAAAAAACTTGTGGATGGTAAAAGACACAAGTCTTGATGTTGAATTGAAATACGAGTTTCATCTTTGTTATCACATGTTGATAATGCATACGGCTGATAAGCGTGAATCTCATAGTGCACAGTAGATTCGTCAAGTATGACTAGAAACAGAATACTTAGAATCTCGCACGTTTTGTACACAAAAAAAATTATCCAACTCATTTTCCACCACAGCTTTTTATTTTTAGACTGAGCCTTTTTTTAAACTGTATGTTTTGATGAGTTAGTTTTTGACGTATTAGACATTTTCTTAGGTACCTCTGTGCTTTTATGGACTATTTTTTCTGACATTTCAACGATTTGAGAGGTTATTGCTGACTAAGTACTGAAGTGCACATTGAGCTGCCTATCAATTTATTTGATTAGAAACGATACCCATTATGGAGAAGATCTTATGTTTAATCTTATAGTTGTAACTTCTCCATGAAAACTGACTAAATTACCACCCTGATACACTGTACGTCGTTCTACATGATCAATAATACGTCCAACAATTGGTAATTAAATTTTTTGTGAAAGAACTTCAATAATTTTATATCCCGGTAGAACAGTTAGGAAAAAATTTATGAATTGTGTGCACTTAGGTGCTATTTATGAAATCTCTACTCGTGATGTTATATTCAACTTTTCATGCGTCTATCTTTAAAATGTCAACTAATATTTTTAATCTCATAACTTATGATTGGTTATAGGATAACTTTAATACCAACACAAAATTACTACACATCTAAAACAGAAAAAGTACCAGAAAGGCTAAGTGTTAATGTTTCTTCCATGGTTGTCAAAGTGTAACGAAGCGCTTTCTCTCTATGTAAAAAAGTTGTATTTGTTTTAAATTAAACTGCAGCACAAGTGTGATATTATATACCGTCTATACTGATCGATATATGTTAAAAAAATCTGATTTTAAACTAATTTTTATTTAAAATTTGTGAAAAGATTACAGCTGTTATTTATAGCTATATTTATAGCTGAATTTTATAAATTGTTATAGCTGTTTTATAGGTAGTTATAGCTATAATTATAGCTATAATTTATAGGTATAATTATAGCTATAAATTTTTGACTGAGATGATACTCAAGATTGTCAGTACTAATTATGATAACTTCCTCAGAATAATAAAAATTTTCAAGTTGTGTAACGTTTTTGGTGTCTATTCGATTTCATTCTTATGAATGTATGGTTGGAAATTAAAACACTAGTTTTATTTAAAATAAATTAATGTATTGTGTTCTTTTATTCTCCCTTATTTCTATGTTAAACCTTAAAATTATGCAAAAATAATAATTGAGATGTAATGGATACAATTGATTATCCTTCTATTTTAAATACCCTACTGTAGGGAGTTGAAAAAAATTTAAGTGATGTTTTTCTTAATGACTAATGTTCTAAATAACTACGTAATGTCTAAGTTTAATGTGCAATGCAAATTACACTTTAACAATATTTTTAAACACTATTTCTTAATATTTAACGGAGTCACTGAAGCTTTCTATTCACCAATGATACATACATTATAATTGTTCTGTGGAGACATTAGATATACTTGTAATCTATCCTAAAGTAAACTTTATATTACAACTGATATCATCTAAAATAGTTCACCGTTCAAAAGTACGTTACTTTAAAGGTATTCAGTATATTATTATCATCTTGAATTTCTACTTTATTGACTTCCCTATTTGAAAAAATAATTCTTAATAATTAATTTCCTAGCTGTTAACAAAATAAAATAACAAAAACAATTCGTAAGTTAGTACTTTAAGGTATCAATCAAGCCCTACATCAATGCAATCCGTTGCGAATTGAGAGAGAAAAGTCACATTTCGTGATAATAGACAAGTGTTTCAGTGTGCATAGTCTGAAATGCATCTTTTTTTAAAAACTAATGATTAAATTTTGTTAAACTTGGACAGGGCCTCTACAAAATACGGAATATACTTAAATAAGGAGGAGATTGGAATGATCACATTACAACCCAATCAAAAGGATCCATATGGAAATCCATATGGCGTTTTGGTACAAAATCCATATGGATTTCCATATGGATTCATCCAATTAAATTTCCATGTGGATTAATCCATATGGATTTTCACATAGACGTATGCGTTTGTCATCACTGCATTAAGCATAAGCGTAAAATGCATATAGCACTAATGATATTCCGCATTTATTGGATTGAAGATTTCCATATGGATGGATCCAAATGGAACAATTCATATGGATTTTTTATCTGGAATTTTCATTTTGTCATAATAGCAGTGTAAGAATAGAATACACAATAAGAGTAATTATCCGAATAGAGTTTTATATAGATTTATCTATATGGATTTCCATATGGATTTTTATACAGACAGAACCATTTGCTATACTTGCATTCAGCATAAGCCTTGCAAGTTTGCAAGCATAAGATTTGCAAGCCTTGATGATTTTGGAAATATTCCTCAACTTATTTTGCTTATTCTGTTTTCTGCTGGGTCTTAACCTTGTCACTTAAGAAAGTCTGGATATTTTCCACTTTAAATCTAAGTCAATTGCATCTCAATCAGTCATAAATTGTACACAGATTTAATACTTCTTTAATTCTGATCATCTGTATGCAATTCGTCTCAATGCGCCCGCTAGATTGTAGAAAAGTTTGATAGACTTTAATTTGATTTTGAGATCTTACATAAATTTTTTACCACATAATATCCTCAGTCAAATAATAAGTAATAGTAAGATATCCGGAAGTATCAAGCATATGTATAGTGTTATCATCCATATTGTCACAAGAGAAGTGATGGGTTCAAGTATGTGACATGAAAGTAGCAACGTAGAATTAGTAACAAATTTTTTATAACAAATCGACAGTTAAATACAAAATGCTAGAACCAATCCATTTTTTTGTTACCATACGGATATCATGTATGGTTGTAATAACGGACATCCAGCTTTGTTAAATGTAATTATATTCTACCTGAAATCTATTTAAACTCCACATGATGGATTGAGACTGATTTCAGGCTGACGGTCAAAGTGAAATAATTTCAAAATTAGCATACAATCAAAGACAAATTTTGATTAAATCCACATGGATTGAAAGTGCATCCATGGATAACAATCGATTGTTTGGATCCTTCCTTTGACCATACGGTAAAACGATATGAATTTATATGGTTTTACCGTATGGGTTTTCAATTTTTTCAGAACTTTATCTTAATGTCAAATGTCTTTAAGTTAAGAAAATTTAAGACAGAATAGGTGTCCTTCACATGAAACACTAACTGTTTCAACACTAGGACGTGCTTTACAATGTTGTCCCACTCGATGGAACGTACGTGTTATTTAAATAAAGTCTGTGTTTCAATCACCCGGACATTTAGTATTATTGGTTATGTTTCTAACTGTACCGCATTGAAACACTGAAACTCAAGAAAGATTCTGTAAAAAGCTTTGAATCAAGTATTATATTGATTGATTGCATTTTGTACAACTTTGATCCTCTTGTATTAATTTTTTTTTACGATGAAATATTCTGAAATATATTGATTATAATGGGTTTCAAAATGTTTTATACACTAGGACATTTACCTTTGAAGTTGTTTCATAATTGGGACATTTACCTTACTGCAGTATTTTCGCTCTGCAGAATAATTTGCAGTTTGTACTTTTGATTCAATAATTACTTTATTATGAGAAGTAACGTTAAAAACTTTTTTTTAAAGGTATTTGAGCCATAATTGGTGTTATCATCCGGATGATATCACTGAAACAGAGGAGTTCAAGTATTTTTGCTCAATTAAAAACAAATTGCAAATTGTAGATTAAAAAAATTAGGAATCACCTACAATATCCATTAAAAAATTCATTGAATATAACAGGGGTCTGATTCTGATGGTTCGATATCTTGCAAATCGCTGCGAGTTAAGCGATAAAAACGTAATATAATCAAACTTTATCACCACATGACTGGGTGAGATTGGTTATGTGACGGTTTTATAGCTCAACTCGCAGCGATTTGCGGGATATCCAACTATCGGGATCAGACCCCAGTGAACTAATTTTTTTTCAAACAATAGTATGTAACGGTAGTTATGAAACGGAAGTTTATTTATGTATTCAAACAATACAGCGCATCTGGTATCGTACGATTCATCTGCGTAGATAACTTGACAAGCTAAAATATATATACTATGTAATTTAAATCTGAATATAAGATCTCTGAAACATGTTGCCTAACTATTTGTTTTCATCACATTTATTGTAGAAAAACGTATTCCTTTTATTATGAAGTCATCAGACTAAAAAAAAAAGGAAAAATATGCCGGATGGAAATAAAATGGAAATCGAGAACGTACAAAAAAAAAGGTATAATCGCATAGAGTCTACTGATGATGAAGATGATGATAAACAAAAGATAATCGAAACAGCAACTAAATCAAAAAATGAAAGTATTGATGGAACCTTAGATGCAACTCAATCTGATGAAATAAGAACACGTTTTAAGGGTGTTGAACGAGCGATTTCTCCAGATGGATCCGGAGTCGACTACAAATTTCTAAAAAAATTTACGGTTGTTACCGACAAAGTTGAGGTTAGTAATTAGCATTTTGCATTAAAAATTCCATTTAGTCCGTCTTCTAGAGTTTTCAAAAATAATCGACATGTATTTTTTCTTTTTTTTTTAAACTCCAAACTTCAAAAGATATAGCACTTCAAAGTTTATGTCTTTTCCATAGCTATAGATATTCTCCCTGTGTATGTGATGTCACAGTTGCATAGCGAGAAACAAACATTTTCGTTTTTTCACGATAACTTGAGTAAAAATAAATATTTTTCCTTGAATCTTTCAGAAATACTTGGTATTGATATAATGTTAACAAGGCTCAATTTTCAGCGAAATTCATGTTACCCTTTCTGCGGTATTTGAGGTTATGTTAACGTTTTCTACTTTTTTCAAAACGCTATATCTTAAAAAGTTTTTTAACGATTTTCATGTTTCGGGGCTCATTTTTTTCGTACTCAATTGTAGAATATTTATTTGTAATGTAGGCTTCAGAACGACACATAAACATGGCGTTTTCTGTGACTTCTAAAATACCATAACTTTAAGGTACTGTATCTTTATAATTTTTATTTCTAAGAAAAAAGAAAAAATACGTGTCGGTTATTTTTCAAAACTCTACAAGACGGACTGAATGGGAAAAAAAAATTTTTTTTCATGCAACATCCCAATTGTAGAAACACTTTTAGCAACTAAAATGTCGTAACTCAGTAGGATAGACGTATGCCTGTTACTTTAATAGCCACAAACGAAAATATAATACGCCTGCAAAAAATTAATTTGCGTACAAGAATTCACTATTGATTATATTCATTTTTAACTGAAAATCACGATTTGAAACTTTGCACAGTTCTTCTCAAGACCATAAACTGTAATGCTGTGTTAAAAAAATTCAGTTATTGAACATTCATAACACACTTTTGACGACGGAAGTTGAGATTTCTAGTACATTTAATAGGTTGATGTTTTTCTCGTGAATGGAGTATTTTTATTTGTGACGTAATTCCAAGATGACGCGTTCACTGGGTAGTAATTTTAAATTTGTACTAAATGTGTAATCACAGCTAAATAATTCGTAAGTGTGTCCCAGCTGACAAAAATCCTTATATAAACTTTAGATTTTCATAAGCTATTGAATAGACAATGAATTTTTTGTACATGTACTCAAGAAGAAGGTTAAAACAGTAAACAAAGTTATCGCAAGCAAAAGGTTGATGAGAAAAACTTGTCTCTTTTAAGCTTATAGTAGTTTAATCGACCTTATTTTGAGTTTTGACAACAATCGATGCCTACTAATGTAGAATAACACTGGGCCAAATGACACATATAACTTGAGTCTCACCCAGAAGTAGAGTTCGGGTGAAGCCCAGCTATTACGTATACCTGTATCTACTATGTTGTGAAGAATCATCGGAGCAGACGCAATGTGTATATATATATACCTATATATCTATAACGCACTCTTCTGGGATTTGCCATATTAAGGTCCCCCTACAGGAGGCAGTGGTTACCCCCGTCNTATAACGCACTCTTCTAGGATTTGCCATATTAAGGTCCCCCTACAGGAGGCAGTAGTTACCCTCGCTCGCTGCGCTCACTTGGTCACGTTTAAAAAGAATAAACAATCCTATAAAGCAATGACAATACAATTACCGACAGTATATACATAAAACCTTCGTTTTTTAATAAACAAATAACTTTTATCTCGTTCATGTCAAAACCTTAACATTCCGGAATTGATCAGTTGATCAATGTATAAAAAAAGTTTTCTAGTACGTTTCGGAAATAACATAAAATCCCAGAATAATGCGAAGTATACAGTATACCGTCCTAGAATAATGCAATGAGCTTAAATATATGTCAATCAGCTTAACCATACTTTTACTTCTGGATGAGAATCAAGTGATATGTTTCGTTAGACCCAGTGTTATTCTACATTATTAGGCATTATTCGTTGTCATGGTTCAAAATGATCGATTAAACCACTATAAGCGTCAAAAAGACAAGTTTTTCTGATCAACTTTTTGCCTGCACAAACTTTGTTCACCGTTTTGAACTATTATCGAGTAAATATGCAAAAAATTCATTTTCTATTTAATAGCTTATGAAAATCTGAATGTTTACATAAGGATTTTCGTTAGCTGGCACACACTCACGAATTATTTAACCGTGATTACACATTTAGTGCAAATTCGAAATTACAACCCAGTGATCACGCCGTCTTGTAATGACGTCACAAGTGAAAATACTCTATAACGTTTTTTAAGTTTTTCGATTGCCTGAGTCGGTAGTTTATATTTGCAACTATCTGTCTTAAAGTATACACTCTAATTTTTTTTTATACTTAAGCTTCGAATCTTTGAGTACAAGCAAGTTCAACACAACTGAATTTTCTGTGATAGAGTGTAAGCAGACTTTCTGAGGCACGGTTAGTAAAAGACAACTGAACGCGGCGCCTTATAGAAGCCCCGCACTTCCATTCACCCCCTTGCTGAAGCTCCGAAACCTCTTTAAACAAAGGAAATATCTCGTCTGTAGTAAATTTTTCGAAGTGCAGTTAATGGACTCATACAATGTTTTATTATCGGCATAGTGCAATTCCTCTAGACCTTGCAAGCATAATGATTACATTAAGGATGAAATTCATTAGACAATTCTCGTAGTGTGTACATAAAAATTACATTTAAGTATTAACCTTTCAGATTCTAATGCGGTTTTTAAGTCAAACAACAACAATTAGAGAGAGCGTCTGGTCTACTTTTGTAAAATCAGATGGATGTTCGAGATTCATCAAGAATTTACTAAGACACTTCTACACTGAAAAGGAGATAGCCCGTCTATGTCTGACAAAAACACGAGAGTGCGGGACCAGTAGTGGAAGTCGAAGAGAAGTTATTCCTGATGATACTGTGAATTGTTTAAAAGGTAATTCATATATAATGCATACAAGATTGTTTCTATTAATTTCTCTGTAATAGTAAAAAGCAATAATTCAAAGACTTAAATTACAATTAACTGTATGGAGCGATCGTAAGAAATTATTTTATCATTATTAAAATATAGTAACTAAAGCAGTAGAGAAAATGTCAGTCGCTGTTACCAACAAAAATTCAAGTATTAGTGTAACTTATGAAAATAATAGTAATATGTATATAAAAACATTTCAATTATTCAATTATTTCACCTGTGGAGTGCTAGATGCATGATAGGAGAAAGTAATATTTGTGTGGAAGACAAAAACCAACAATCATGCAACAATAAGTTAATTCTTTTCAAAATAAAAATTTTATGATTACAAGTGAGTGGAAAAAAATTACTGCCCGTAAGTACGTNGCAGTAGAGAAAATGTCAGTCGCTGTTACCAACAAAAATTCAAGTATTAGTGTAACTTATGAAAATAATAGTAATATGTATATAAAAACATTTCAATTGTTCAATTATTTTACCTGTGGAGTGCTAGATGCATGATAGGAGAAAGTAATATTTGTGTGGAAGACAAAAACCAACAATCATGCAACAATCAGTTAATTCTTTTCAAAATAAAAATTTTATGATTACAAGTGAGTGGAAAAAAATTACTGCCCGTTAGTACGTTGGCTAGACATTATCGTAACATTTGAAATTTTGTATTCACATTTCTCGAAATTTTCATTTTAAGTATTAATAATGGCCTATTAATAATGGTCTATTCACCTACGATGCGAAGAAAGCCGGTCGTTAACTTTGATAGTGATAAACCCTGGTTGAGGCATTTCTACTTTCGTTGGTTTTTGCACTAATTTTATGTGGATAAAGTGCACGCTTCGCACGAATAATAACTATGAATTTAAAAAAATTACATACTACAGTACTTAACAGTTGTAAAAAATTGTTTCAGAGTGCTTAACCTGGTTTGCAACGCATAAAACGTCTTTGACAGAAGCTAAAAAAGCGGAGGCCATCAAAAATATGAATAAGTTTATAACCGAAGAAATAAATTACCAGATCAAGGAGGTAAGCAAGCAATGTCCATTACTTAATCGGGATCTTTCGTAAAAAAGTACGGGTAAAAATGTAACATTTAAATGTAAATGAGCATATTGAAAATGTAAATGTATATATTAAAACATATTTCAAATTTTTCCTTATGAACGAAAAATAACGGTTATTTTTAAATTTTGGCGCTTACTTAGATGATGTCATGTTTATATTTACAATTTTTTAATTAAGTTTACTTGTTTTCTTTAATTTAATACAAAACATTATAATCTTTTGCTTATTAAAATCACTTGGTCGATTAAAAAATTTCGTTCTAATCAAGATTAAACCCAGACTAACGGATTACTAATGTTGTGACTAGTGCGCTAGACCACCGTGTACTCAGGATCATATTTATGTAATATATTTCTTGTGGCTTTCTTGCTTCTCCTGCCTACTGGTACTCACAGTTATTACCTTATTTTCATACACTATTACATTTTTAAAGTAAATTATAACTGAAATAATGTATTTGTGCAATATTCTTGCGTTGTATTGACTTACTATATCTTATATCTCTATGTGATATTTCTTATATCTCTATGTGATATCCATACTGACTTGCGACTAAATTAAGAGTCTGAATTTTTCGGACTGGAAGAAAACTGGAAAATAATAAAATCACCATTTTGCATTGACATACCTTGTAAAAACGATGTTTAAGGATAGTTCTTGTCTGGATTTTTTGTGTAAATCATAGTTTAACGTTGAAAATGTCGAATTATTACGAAATATCAGGTGTGTAGCAGTGTTAAGTATTTTCTTATTGATTTAGGAAATTCGGAAGACGAATTTAGACGTGCATAAATAGCGCGGTAAACAGGCTCGTCTGCTACACAAACTGACATGTAGATCTACCGTGCCACTTGATTTCGAATATTCTGTATAAAATGCAATGAGAATAAAAACTTTGCCGATAAAAAATAATTTTTTTTGGTTTCAGAAAAAAATTAAGAAGAAGTCTGTCACTTTAGGATAGTGATTCAACAAACATCACTGTTTCAATCATATTGTGAGTGTTTTCCATTGTCCGTTTGAAATGATTTTGATAACATACGTTTAAAAAACACAGTTGTGAACTTGACTCTTAATCAACAAAAGAAACCCAAGAAACAAGTTCGTATGACTTAATTTGAAATATTTCAAAATAAATGTATGATGAATCTTTCGTCCTCAGGTGTAAGTATAATTATGTATGCTTCTTTAAAATTAACACTGTGATGTAATGAAGGAAGTACAACAAAAATAATAATTCTTGAAATTAAACTTTGTTAAACATGATTTGTTTTGTTAAATATTAATTTATATAGACCCTAATGTAGAACATCTGCACCTTTTATAAGCTTTTTCGATAACATTACCCCAACATCTTTTGGGTCGTAGTAAGTGCCGGATTTTATTTCTCATACAGCAGAATCTGAGAAAACTATTTTAATCCTAAAAAATTCCTGTAGTATATTCAAAAAAAAATTGTCTCTCCAAATCATTATATCTAAGCTTAAAATATGACGTACGACTAGTCTTGTACGAAAAAAATCTTATTTTAACACTTGTCATATATGTGCAACATAAATGTGGGAAATTCCACATTGACGCTTGACGATCATCATAAAAAAGGAAATCAGCAATCTCAACTCATACTGTCAAATGTAAGGTATGTTGGAGGATCCGAAATTAGGCGACAGCGGGCAATCCGTGGTGGCCTGAACTCGCTCAGCTAGACCAAAGAACGCTATTTTGTTGATTTCAGGCGAGTTCGGGCCACCGTGGGTCGCCCACAGTCGCCAAGTTATCCATTTAAAAATCCTTATTTAAATTAATGCGAAATATCATTAGTGCTACATGCATTTTAAATTTGCGCTGAATGTAGATATGACAAATGGATTCGTCTATATGAAAATCCATATGGATTAATCCATAAGGAAATCCATATGGTTAAGTCTATATAAAATTCCATACCGATAATTACTCTTATTGTATATTCTATTCTTACACTGCTATTTTGACAAAATAAAAATTCCAGATATAAAATTCATATGAATTGTTCCATATGGATCCATCCATATGGAAACCCATATGGAAATACATATAGATAAATCTATATGAAAATCTATTCGGATAATTACTCTTGTTGTATATTCTATTCTTACACTGCTGTTATGACAAAGTAAAAATTCCAGATATAAAATCCATATGGATTGTTCCTTATGGATCCATCCATATGGAAATCCTTATGGAAATTCATGCAGAAAAATCTATTTAAAAATTTGTTCCAAATGGATCTATCCATATAGAAATCCATATGGAAATCCACATGGATCAGTCTATATAAAAATCCATATGGATAATTACTCTTATCGTATATTTTATTGTTACAATGATATTCTGGCAATATAAAAATTTCAGTTATAAAATCCATATGGATTGTTCCATATTGATCTATCCATATAGAAATCTTTATTCAAATGTTTTCTAAATATTATTAGTGCCACATGCATTTTATACTTACGCTGAATGCAGGTATAGCAAATGGTTCTGTCTGTATAAAAATCCATATGGAAATCCATATAGATAAACCTATGTAAAAATCTATTCGGATAATTACTCTTATTGTGTATTCTATTCTTACACTGCTATTATGACAAAATAAAAATTCCAGATAAAAATCTATATGGATTGTTCCATATGGATCCATCAATATGGAAATCTTTATTCCAATAAATGCGGAATATTATTAGTGCTATATGCATTTTCCACTTATGCTTAATGCAGTGATAACAAACGCACACGTCTATATGAAAATCCATATGGAAATTTTTTTGGATGAATCCATATGGAAATCCATATGGATTTTGTTCCAAAACGCCATATGGATTTCCATATGGATCCTTTTGATTGGGAAACAACTTAACAATCACAAGGAGAGAGAACCACAGCCTTTTAAAGAAAAAAAAATATGTTTTTTTATTGCTTGAATATAATATAATAATATAAAGTTTGTGGTTTGGTTGTATGGTTATTATATTAACGGAAAACAAATAAATCATTACTAAGTAGTCAGGTTACGTTTTCGTTAACATTTGAATCTGCAGCAGCCTCGATAATGACAGGTTGGTAACTAACAGTGATTGTTTTGATGCTTATGTTTACAGAAACGTAGTGTTTTAAACCCAGATTTATTCATGATTTTCTTTGACTTCAGCTTTCCAACAAGTAACAAAATCAACTCGACGCAATCACTTTGTACTAAATCACTGAATTACACTTATTTCTTTTGTAAAAGCCTATTATATAATCTAGTAAAAAAATGATGTAATTTTGAAATAGTTATTTACGTAACAAGTGCGGAAAAGTTGATTTCCCGTACGAGTCGTGATTGACTCCTGGAGTTGACTAGAACGAGTGCCAGTTGAGCACACGAATGCGTAGCAGGAAAATTTTTACCGCACACAACGCGGGAAAATCGATTTTCAACACTAAAAATAGTGCAGAAAACAACTATTTTTCGCACACTATTGCAAAATAGTAGTTTTCCTACGAGTTCGAAAAGTCTCTGTTTGCGAACCGAGAGGTTTGCGGCCCGAGCCGAAGGCGAGGGACGTAACGAGATTTGTAAAGGAGACTTTTCGAACGAGTTACTATTACATTTTTAAAGTAAATTATAACTGAAATAATGTATTTGTGCAATATTCTTGCGTTGTATTGACTTGCTATATTCTTATATCTCTATGTGATATNTAAGTTTTAGTTTCCCCATGTAATTTACTTAAAATCTTATTGTTTAAAAAAAAAGTATATTCATTATGTGAAGTTAGTATCACGTTATTGTCAAAACAGTTGCTATAATTACCAAATATTTTGGTACAGACATCATCTGTTATCCAAGATTTAGGAATGTTAAATGTTTCTATGTCCCCTTCTCCAATTCTTCACAATAATTTTGAAAATTCGTTATTACTAGAACGGATATTATTTCGTAATCTTAAAATTTTAAAGAAGTTCCATAAAAGTGATGAGTAAATAGTTTCTTCTATTATTATAGTTCTATTACCGTTTTTTATAACTGGAAGGATTTGTTGAGAATCTCCTCCTAATACTATTAATTTATCACCAAAGCAAAGTTTTGTATTACACAAGTCTCTCAACGTTCTATCAACGATTTCTAAAGCTTTTTTCGGAATCATAGAAGCCTCGTCCCATATTATTAAATCAACTTCCCTTAATTTTTTTTTTTTCAGTTTCAAATTCTAAAAATACACTTTTAATATTATATAAGTCTAGAGGTAAACGAATAGTTCTAGGACTGGTCATACCTTTTGGTAGTAATACAGATGCAATTCCTGTCCAAGCCATTGACAAAATATTTTTACCTCTAGAAATAAAGTAATAAATGAGTGTCTTATATAAGTAGATTTTTCCAGATCCACTAGGACCATCTATGAAATATACTTTTTCATCTTGTTCACAAATAGTTTTAAAAATTTTTCTTTGATCTTCTTTTAAATTTGTGTACATTATATCGAACACTTTTTTATTGAAAGATATTTCCTCAATATTGCAATTATTTATATAGTTTCTAATGGTTGGTGTCGGTAAACTAAAAGACTCACATGATTTACCTTCCGATACCAAAATTTGATTAATATGTAGAAGAGCACAATTATTATTATCATTATCAAAGTCTTCCGTAAAATATTTTTTATATTCATTCCATATTTTATCTCTTTGAATGTTTTCTGAAATCAAAAACCAAGCAAAAAATTGTCTTAACTGGTATAAAAACATAATTGTTATGGCTTCTATAAAAATATTGCCGATTTCAGAATCATGTTCTATTAAACCCATTGCAATTGCAGTATCCCTGAAATTTTTATATGTTATTCCATTATGTTTTTTAACGTCTTTAAACGATGTAGCCCCATGTAATTTATTTAAAATAAGTTTTAAAAAAAAGCGTTCATGATCTTTTGGAGATA